TGGCTTTTATCACTACATAAACATTGTTATTACTTTTGAAAAATACTAAAGCTGTCCATGAAACACATATTAAATCACCAGGATGGATGGTATAAATGGGCTAGTGGGGCTAAACCCATTCTTCACTTTCAAAGGGAAAATATTCTGTCGTTTACATATTTAATTTGCATCTATGTTTTACTTGCTGTTAATAAATTATGCAAATTAACGCAAGTTTTCAGAGTTCTCTCCCTTCCTACAGTCAGACACTTTAAAAATGAAAGTGCCAAAAAGAACTACATAGAAGAACCTTTCAATGGATTAAATAAGATATGTGAGTGTCAAACTTCAAAGAATGTCCATATTACAAAAAAGTTCTACAAAGAACCCTTAAATTGGTGAACAATGTGTACATTCTTTATATGACAGTTCTTTGTACATTTAAATGCTTATCCACACTCATGAATCTAATTTACAAACATGGTTCTTTTGGAACCATGGTTCTTCTATGGCATCATTTAAAAAAAAAAACAAAAAAAACTTGGTAACACTTCCTATGAATGTCACCTTTGTAAGCATCTATAAACGCATTCATAACATGTTATAATGCATGCATAAGACATTATAAACATAGCTATAAATATTTATAAAAATGCATTATATGTTATAGCCATGCTTATTATGCATTATGAATTGTTAACATAATACATTATAAGTACTGTTCATAACAAATTATAAGAGCTCATAAGTCGTATTTGTCTGCTCTAAGTAAAGTGAAGCGTACTGTACTAAAGCCTCCTCCAGTGTTAAGAGTGAGGCTTGAAGTTGAAGTATTTACTGAAGGATTTACTGAAACACTAAAACATACACAATAAAGCACATTACAGGCTTCAAATGTCAGAGTTTAAACTAGAGCTGCCATCAGTGTTTTACCCAATGTGGGAAAGGTAATGTACACCACCGTTAGCTTGGTATTTGTCTTTACTTTATGCTCTCCAAGCTGGGACTGACTTCTTTGGCACTGACAGTATAACATGTTATTAACACTATTTATAATGCATTATATTAACAATCCATAATGTATAATAATCCTGGCTATAAAATGTAATTCAGTGTAATTCTTTTTCATAAATATTTATAACCATGTTTATAATGCCTTATGAATACATTATAACATGTTATAAATGTGTTTATAGATGCTTACAAACGTGACATTCATAGAAAGAGTTACCAAAAACTCTTTGTGTACAGCCTTCATACATACATTCTTCATTCACTAATTACAGGCATGGTTCAAAGTAAGCATTGTACATGTACACACTCACACAACTGTACTTCACCTTGTAGCATGTACATGTAAAGCTAAAAATAAGTGTAGTAGTTAGGGGTCGGAATCTCTAAGCACCTCACAATTCGATTATGATTCAGAGGCTGCGATGCGATTATAAAACGATTATCGATGCATCTTTTTTTTCTATACAGGAGTTCTATTTTCTCACTGTGTGAGGACTTGGAAGTTTTACAGCAAAGTATTTGTAATGATCCATAATGAATTTACTTCCAATATCTTTTATTAATAAAACAAATGGAAGTGATGTGGCAAGTGAACTGGAAGGCTCTCATTCACTGCTCTAGTTTGAAGCACATGAGATGCAGGCTGCCACTCATCTGCGAAAAAATGCACAGTTACAGTGAAATAACATCCCTAGGGCAATGGATGTCCAGCGCAACACGTTACAGCCATACCACCCATTTTCTTTAGTGATTTCATAACTTTGGTCTTGTTGTAGAGAGTGGGGGCATCGTTGTGTCAGTTAAATACCTTTGAGATGAGTTGCTGTATCTTGGTTACAAGGTGTGCGACATAGCGCGAAAGCCCTGGTTTTCAACAACTGAGTACGGACGCAAATGCTTGGCAATAAAAGTTGCGATAGAGTTTGTAATTCGCTTCGTCCTTTTCGAGTTGGGTGGAAGTTTTGACATTGCTTGATCTATGGTCCTCTGGTTGGCAGCAACTACAACTGGGTGGAAAACGGGTGGAAAAATGTAATATGGTTTTCCCCCCTCAACTGCATTGAAGCCAAAGTGCTTCCCAGATGCTAGCGACCGGCAACCTGCAGCTCCAGATCAGAATTAGATTTCTAGGTAAAAATAAAATAATTCTCCGGTAGAATAAAGCTCTGCTGGTCATTCTAACAACTTTTGCAATAAATGATCTTAAATGCTGGAATTTATGTATCCTATAACCGCTAGTTCACCTGGCTAGCTAGTAGCTGATGAAAAAGGCAAAGAGAAAGATTTAAGACAAACATTGATAATTTGGAGACTAATAGATGTTTATAATCACTTCAGCTGGTTTCTTGATATGTTTAATATGCAACGAGAAACTGTTAAACAAAACGTCGAAGTTGGCTTCTCATTCACCAGCTTCTTGTTTGAATTGTCCTGTTCCACCTTAAATGATGCAGCAATTATATTCTGGCACCTCAGGCACCATTTAAGGTGGAAGAGAAAATTCGAACAAGAAGCTGGCGAATAAGAAACTGACTTCAGCATCGTAAAAAGTAAAACACTGGGAGATATTTTACAAAAACTGTTCTACTTTTGAGGAAAAGTTTCCAGCTGGTGATGCAGCTGAGCTAAAGCTTAAAGCAGAGCAAAGTAAGTCTGCATTTTTATTTGTATATTTTTGCCCTACACTAGAACATTAGCACTTACTGAGGCATGTGCAGCCAAGATGGTAAAATGAACTCAAAAATGTTGTGGCTCCCAAAGTGGTTTGATTTTTGTTGAAAGGACAAAATTACTCTCATTAACATTTGGGTTGCCGACCCCTGCACTAGTTTTTAATGTAGTGTGTCGCCACACACTGTCCGGGTGCTGCACTTCCGCACTTTGCAAAGTTCCGCCTTTTGTGTTCCGTCAACATTACGTTATCAATTAGTACACTTTTTTTAATTGATTAAAAAAAAATCATAAATAAATATTTTTTTTTAGCATCTGCATATCAAATAATGGCATATCCAGCTTAGGGTCATATCTAGCTAAGGCTCTGGGACTCCATACTGAGGGCCATTATCTCCAAATGGAGAAAACTTGGAACTGTTCTTCCCAGAAATAGCCAACCTATGAAAATTCACAGCACAGTGACAGCTCTTCCAGGAAGTCACAAAAGAACCCACATGAACATCTAAGGAACAACTGGCCTTGCTCCTTTCAGACTCCACCATTAGAAAGAGACTGGAAAAAATTGTCATCTTTGGATAAGTTGCAAGGCAAAATTATTGCTAACGAAGAAGGACATAAAGGCTCATCTCAATTTTTTGGCACAAAAACATCTTGATAACCCCCAAGCTTTCTAGCATAATGTGCTCTGGAAGAAAAGTAGCCATTTGTAAGGATGCCGTTACATATTGCATAATGTTAAACCGCATTTCAAAATAAAAGCTCTTTTGATCATACCAACATTCAAAAATGTTGGTGGTAGTGTGATATGTGGGGATGCTTTGCTGTTTCAGAGTCTTCAGTCCTTGATCTGAAGCTCAAGCATTACTGGGTTATGCATCAAGGCAATGAAGAAAAATGTATTAGAGTGACTTAGGCTACGTTTACACAGCAGGTAAAACTGTCCCAAATTTTCCTCAAATGTGACACAGGTGTGTGTCTGTGTGGCTGTCTGAACAGCAAAAAACGCATTGAATCTGACATTTTCAATTCCGATTTGAGACGCTTTCATATGTGGTACTGAGATCCGATATGTATCCGATCTGCAGCAATGCGACTCTGTCTGAACAGCCAGATTGGAATTCATGCAACTTTTACGTCAGTACAACTCGACATTCGTCATAACTGCAGAGACTCATAAACATTTAGTCTGATGTTTCCATACCAAAAAATTAGAAGAGACTCATGAAAACTCTCCATGTTTGAAGAGGTTTCGAACGGAACGCCGAACACGGCCGGAGGAGCCAGAGGCTGCAGCGTCAGAGAACAGTTTAAAGAATCCGAGGACACGAACCAAAGAAGTGACTGTGGCCGAATAACGAGCCCTTTTTTCGGCAAACTCAAACACATTGTGAGTGATGAGTCCAGCTGTCAACCACTGGAACGTTATACGCGGTCCTGTGATGCTGGCGAAGATGAAGCTGAAGCTCCGGGAGTGACTGGCGTTTGCTGGCCGTCGTGATTGTTTTCCCTTGGATGACCCGCCACGTGAAGCACTGTTCTTTTGCGCACGTGGGTCAGTTTAGGAGCGTGATCTGTTTAGACTGATGTTGCATACAGATCACATTTAAAAGATAATGTGAACAGCCAAACAAAAAAAAATGGATTTGGTGAGAAAATCAGATTTGGGCCACTTTTACCTGCTGTGTAAACGTAGCCTTAGTCAGAGTCACTAGAACTCCATTGAGATGCTGTGGCAGGACCTTAAAAGGGCAGTTAATGCTCAAAAGCCCTCCAATGTGGCTGAATTACAGCAATTCTGTAAAGAAGAGTGGGTCAGAATTTTTTTCCATAGTGATGTAAAAGACTGATTTCCAGTTTGCATGGTATGTGGTCCTTGTTTAGCCCAATTTAACCATGAAAAGTGTAACTATAAAAATGTTTGCACCCATTTATCAAACTGAACATGTATAGTCAGTTATTTTGGGGCCACAGTAGAATTAAAATGCTTCAATGCATTACACAGTCAGTCAAATAACATTTTAGATCAACCGTGGTCTCACCATAACCACATTACCACACAAAACTGGTCATGCATTTTATACCATGCATCTCTGATACATTGTGCCAAATCACTGTAAACACCCACACCACCCCTATACATTTTTAATTTCTTATGTGGCCATTTGAATATCAGATGAGTGAATGATGTCAGGGATAAACTAGCCAATCATATAGCAGGAGGAAGATTCATATTTTGGTATTAAAAGATATGCAAGAAAACCAAACCCATCAGTTCAGCATTACTGAACCACACACTGGATCAATTTCAACCGGCAGATCTGCATGTGATTCAAATGAATTACACAGAGCATCAGCAAAACATCACAGTTCAATACTGCTTTCCTGACAACAACTCATCTTGTAGAAAGGAGGTTCGAACAGGCCCTGCTTATATATTTCTGTTCATTGTTCTCTCATGTGTATCTGTGTTCACTGTGTTTCTGAATCTGCTGGTGATCATCTCCATCTCTCACTTCAAGCAGCTCCACACTCCCACCAACCTGCTCATCCTCTCTCTGGCTGTGGCAGATCTTCTCGTGGGACTGATTGCTATGCCAGTGAATATAATGGGTCTTATAGACTCTTGCTGGTATCTTGGAAAATGGGCATGCTCTGTTGTTCTAGTGATCGATTCTAGCTTACTGTCAGCATCACTCTGTAGTCTGGTTTTCATTGCAGTTGATCGATATATTGCTGTCTGTGACCCTCTACTTTATTCCATTAGGATTACAGCTTGTAAAACTTCATTATTTATACTTCTAGGCTGGTCTTTTGCTGTATTGTATGTCATCATGTGTTACTATTTTAATGACCATTTTCTTCCATCTCAGATATCAAGTCAGTGCTATGGGGAATGTATATTTGTCCTGAAATATTCCTGGGTGATCACTGACCTAGTAGTCTCATTTCTAGCCCCTTGCTCTGTCATACTGGTCTTATATTCAATCATTTTTAATGTGGCAAGACGTCAAGCTAAAGCTGTCAGAGATGTGATGAATGGTGTGTCACACAAAAATGGAGCCAAAGTTTCAAGTTCGTCTGAAACCAAAGCAGCAAAAAAATTAGGTACTGTAATTTTGATTTATTTGGCTTGCTGGATCCCATTTTATTTATGTTCTCTGTCAGTTGAGAGCTTGACATCTGTGTCAATGGTGTGGACTGTGTTTGGCTGGCTAGTACTTATTAATTCCTCTGTGAACCCACTAATATATGCCATTTTCTATCCATGGTTCAGAAAATCATCTAAGTATATTGTAATTTGTAAAATATCTCTGTCCTCATCTTCAACCTTTACTTTGTTTCCTGAAAATTTTTAATTTCAGACTGGATTCAACTGATAAAGCTGAGATTTCTTTGGAATCGATGTGGCATTCAGGACAGTGTCCTGGACAGAAGCATTTTTGTGATGCAAATTGAGTTTCTTTCTATGTACGAAATGTGTAGAGACGAGATGGAGAGATATTTAGGCATAAGGCCTCAAGAAAGAAATACACTCACCCCACTCAGAAGGCTTTTTAATAATGTCTTTGTAATTCCAGGTCTTGTATAACCACATGAGAGCCTTTAGCATTAAGAGTGATGACTCCATACAGAATTTATAACTGGATTATCTTATATTATATATTGATGTGTTTTTTTTTGTTTTATCATGTAGCAATGGACAACCAATTCTTCAAAAAGTCCTTCATGGAGTTTATTTACTGAAACATTCTTTAAAATAGAAATTCATAAACTCGAAACTTCCCACCCTGGTTCTGGAGGTCCAATGCCTTGCACATTTTATCAATAACAACCTTATGTCAACTTAGTAAGGGGTGGTTAATGAACTCATTATTTAAATCTTGTTTATTGGGAGCAGAAAAAAACTAAATAAGTGTAACTAAAAAGGTTGAGTGCAACATTCTCCAAAGATGCAGATTTACCAGCAGTGATATTGTTGCAGTTAAATTCACTATTATACATACACACCAGTAATCCTCTTCACCTGCAGTGGTGGACAGTACCTAAGCAAATGTAATTCATTATTGTACTTGCGTAGTTTTTTTCATATATCTGTACTTTACTGAAGTATTTCCATTTTTGGTGACTTTTTACTTTCACTCCACTACATTTCAAAGTCAAATATCTTTTTACTCCACTACATTATGAGAAATCTGTCATTCCTTTTGATTTATGCGTGCATAAAAAACATAACGTCAAAATGAAAGAAGCGTGAAGCAAGAACACCAATCAGGGCACAGAGTGCACTTAGTTGCACTTTTTTGAGCTTGTTTTGACCTGTTGGTCATACTGACCCAGTGCAAGTGTACGGTTCAACCTCAGTGCAGCAGCGTACAAGTTTGGGAGTGTCTATTCCAACATAAATGATGGACCTAACCTAACTTTGTGTAAATAGACCACAATATAAAAATATGTACACATATGCAGTTGTGACTGACATGTTTTTTTCTGAATTTATACAAACACTATTTCATTTTATAGTAAACACATTTGGCTAGTTTATGTTTATGAACAGAGACCTACAGATGCAATACAGTAAAGGAAAGCTCATTTGTGAACCTGAGTTTAAAACAAGTTTTGGTAACACTTTCTATGAATGTCACCTTTGTAAGCATCTATAAACGCATTCATAACATGTTATAATGCATTCATAAGACATTATAAACATAGCTATAAATATTTATAAAAATGCATTATATATTATAGCCATGTTTATTATGCATAATGAATTGTTAGCACAATACATTATAAGTACTGATCATAACAAATTATAAGAGCTCATAAGTTGTATTTGTCCGCTCTAAGTAAAGTGAAGCGTACTGTACTAAAGCCTCCTCCAGTGTTCAGAGTGAGGCTTCAAGTTGAAGTATTTACTGAAGGATTTACTGAAACACTAAAACATACACAATAAAGCACATTACAGGCTTCAAATGTCAGAGTTTAAACTAGAGCTGCCATCAGTGTTTTACCCAATGTGGGAAAGGTAATGTACACCACCGTTAGCTTGGTATTTGTCTTTACTTTACGCTCTCCAAGCTGGAACTGACTTCTTTGGCACTGACATTATAACATGTTATTAACACTATTTATAATGCATTATTTTAACAATTCATAATGTATAATAAATATGGCTATAAAGTGTAATTCAGTGTAATTCTTTTTTTATAAATATTTATAACCATGTTTATAATGTCTTATGAATACATTATAACATGTTATAAATGTGTTTATAGATGCTTACAAATGTGACATTCATAGAAAGTGTTACCCAAGTTTTTATTAAACTTAATCTTGTAACTAAATTGCAAATAAATCTTAAACTGAAACTCCGGCAGATCTGACTATAACAGCTTAACTAAAAGGAGAGAACCAAAAGGGCACACATATATGGGAGCACCAATTTGGCATCCCTCCGCTCCACCATCCACAAACCTGAGTGATTGCGTGTGAGCGGCGGGACGACAGCACCAGTCTCAGTTTACTATAATTCCCTGTGTCCATGGACGCCTGGATCTGCTGCCTTTATCTAAGGGGGAACATTAACTACCAAAAGCTAAACTAAACAAGTGAGTTTTCAGCCTAGATTTGAATATTGCGACTGAATCTGAGTCCCGAACATTTTCTGGAAGATCATTCCAGAGTTTGGGGGCTTTATAAGGAAAGGCTCTTCCCCCAGATGAAACCTTTTGAATTCTGGGAACTAGAATTTAGTAATCTACAGCTCACCACACTCCTTTATGGGATGAGGGTCTTTGTAAGCACACATTTTTGCAGTTTGCATGTCTTTATTTGATTTCTTAATGTTTTAGGATTATGATAGTAGAGAAAGAGGGCTAGATCATCTATATCATTCAAAGCCCTTGCTTGTCTGCTGCTGATACAACTGGATATGCTGTATGTTTGAATCTCATATAAATTCAACATTTGACACCTTTGGGCTAAAAGTATAACACTACTTGAACCCTGCTGCATAACATTGATAAAAGCATGACATATGCATGTAAGGATAGCTGTCAGCAGTTGTCATGATAGATTTTGTTCAGTAATATGACAGTGTCATGTGACTCTTACCTGTCATGACAGAGGCCAGGTTTGATGTCATGACAGCTAACGCCACATGCAGGATACTAGTGTTAGCTGTCATGATTGCTTGTTATGATAGCATGATACTGTTATAACCCTGGACACAATCTTACAGGAAAACAAAACAAGAAAGGCTGCTGCCATGACGTTGTGTGGGGTAGCCCACTGGCTGTGTTTATGCGTTAGAATAGGAAGAACTCAGTCAATCAGAGCTGAGTGCTGATAGAGTGCAGATGTGAGCTGAGTGTAGAGCTTAGACTTAGAGTGAACTGTTCAAAGCTGCTCCTTAATAAAGCCCCTTAATAAAGCACAATGACTTGTGCATAAGTTCTGTATTCTTTCATAGCGGTGAACGTTATATATGGTATCAGAATAAATAAGGTTCTACTTTGACGGGAGAGATTCATACTATTTGGCCTCTAGCAGCTAAGCTAAGCTACATGGTTCTGAGAGGAGAGGTGGAGCACTCTGTTTATCTGGAAATTGAAGAAGATGATCGCAAGTTTGCATCTTCAAGAGAGGCATGGCTGTCGGGGGTGAGTTGCATTGCCTGGAAGAGCTGCAAGTAGTGGTGGTGAAGGAAGAGCCAGCAGGGAAACCTTTAAGATCCTTAACTAACGATACTGAGATTTTAGCTAGATGAGTGTATGCTCACATATCACCTCATGCTTAAAGCGAGCTGGCCCGAAACCACTTCATCATGGAACTGTCCCAAACTGACCTACATGTCTACACACAGCTTGCCCACCCACGCCACTTGCAATAGACCCCGGAGAAGGCACTAGAGAGGGAAATGGTGGTGTTATCAGCTGCACAGTGCACAGATGTTACCAGTCCTGCAGTTATAGCTATGAAGGCCTACAGCAAACCAAAAGTGAACAAACAAACAGTGAACAAACAAAAGGCTGTGGTGGAGAGAACATCTGTGTAAGACTTCTGCCACATTTCCATTGACACTGATGAAGTTCCATGCACTGCTCTGGTGGACATGGGGTTGTCAGTCTCAGTGGCCTGGCCAGAAGTGGTAGTAGCTTACCAGTCACCGCATTGTGACTGGTGAGCTAGTACTGATTATGGAGAGGGGATGACTGATGCTGAAAGTTGGGGGCATGAAGATGTGCACTTTAGTCTGGGAAGCTGAATTCCAAGATGTGCTTTCCAGGCTTAGAGTTTTACAGAGCAACCGGTGCCAAATGGACCTAGAGAGTGCCACAGTGATTCTCAGAGGTTGCGATGCGGTGACAATGAACCCCCAGTCCAGCAGCATCAGAGCCTGTTGGAGGATCTCCTGGGATGGAGTGTGCTGTCTGACTGAAGGCAGCATGGCCTTTACGGGCAGCACACACAAGCAGCGCCCCTGCCAACATCAATGCGGATGACATAGAGAAAGTGGAAGCACGAGAGGAGTGCTGCTGCTGACGTCACCCCCAAGTAGCACCAGACTTGATGCTGTAACCTGTGAGACGTTCCACCATGCCCAAAAGGAGGACCACTGCAGCAGTCACATGCCCCACTTCACTCTTTCTGCTCAGGTCCCGCAACAGTCAGTACAGATGTCTACCCAGACTAGGAAGTCCCCCACACCAGTACCTCCCAGGAGAAGGGGGTTTGGCCCCAGTTTGGTTCAAAGACTTTGCGGTCCTCAGGGGTAAGGACATTTTTAAGTGGGGATAGCGTAGTTTGGTCAAAAGAACGGCACTTTAATTTTGGATTATCTTTTCTAAAACGTTAATTAACAGGGTTATTGTTGATCTGTTTCAGACTGCATTCAGTTGTACTCAGGAATTCATCAATAACAGCTGATCCAGTGCAATCCATGACTCCAGTCCACTTTTTTTTTCACTGTTTTGTAGATATTCAAGTCTTTTCTTTCTAGGAGTGACCGTGGCTGTATATGTGTTAGTGTGTATGTTTTTGGTAATAAGAACAGATGGAAGTTCCTGTGTCTATTTGTTGTTTGTGTGTAAGTTAGCCACTGTTATATTCTGGGTAGTTTGGAATGTTGCTTGTCTGTGGGTCCAACCTGAACTTTACATATTGTAGTTTGTTGCTTTAGTACAATATATTTCCATTTTTGATTTATTCCTGTGTGTGTTTTTACTTCAGTCATCCAAATTTTACACTACAATTTAGCCAATACTTGCATGCACTTGGTGGCACTTTATTTTATGGGATGGTAAATACATAGTATTTTATTGTCAATGTGTAGTGCAGAAGTAATTTTCTAGTCTGTAGTATGTGCTACATATTTTAAGCAGTTTTAGTATGGCGCATACTTTGCAAGTTTAATACCTAACAACATTAATTATTGTGAGAAATATGAGGCATATTTCAGATTTTAATGCTAAGAAGTTACATGGTAATGGAAAATACTACCAAACTGCTTCAGAAAGTAAATGCCCATGTGATAGAGAAGTGTAGCTCACAGGTACAGGAGACAAGATTTACTCCCACTGAGTACTCAGTATTTTTTCCCCCCATTACAGTAATAAATTCCATGTTATTTGCTATACTGTTTTATAACTGTCATTATACCAGTAATTGTTATTACTGGTAAGGTATTTGTAATATGATGGAAACAGGATTAAAATAAAGTGTAACTGGAGCCGTTTATGAGGAGCCTGGCCTCTTCCTATGTCCCCCATTATATCAATAACAAGACTGCAGAACAGCAGAGGGCACCTGCGAGTGAGTCCTCAGTGAATGGGGGTGAATGGAGTTAAATGGCTAAAAACAAAAATTTAAAATAGTTTCTTATCACTCGCCCAGAACTATTCCTTAATTATGGAAAGTAGAAGGATGTATTTC